CTGGACCTGCTGATTTGAACACGTCCAGCCCCTCCAGAAGCACTCTAACCCAGTCCTCCTCAACCTTAGGTCTGGAGGCGTTCCCCTCGAATCCATCTTGAATCACGGTGGGGGAGTCCCGGTCCCTGCACAAGAAAACGGAGATGAAGAATTTGTTAAAGAGGTCTGCTTTCTCCTCTGGCGCAACCACCAGATTGTCCAGTGCATCTTGCAGGGGCCCCACATTTCCTGGTGCCTTCTTCATCCTCCCTATATATTTGAAAAAGGACTTTTTATTATCCTTGATCTTGGACACTAGTCCTAGCTCTATGTCCGCCTTAGCTTTCCTAACAGCCCCGCTACAGGCCCGAGCAGTGGAGGTGTACTCTTCTTTGGAGATCGCCCCCCCCTTCCACTGGGTGTACGCTGCCTTTTTGGCAACCAGACATTCCCAGACGTCCTTGGTGAGCCAGGAAGGCTTTTGGGCACTCTTGCCCCCCTTGCTTGTTGGGATCGTCACCCCGTGGGCCCGGAGTATCGTCTCCTTAAGGAACGACCACTCATTTTAGGCACTGAGTTCCCCTGCCCTTGAGAACCCCAGCGCCTCTCCCACCAATCTCCTCAACTCTATGCCCCTTCCCTCCCTCCCGCCCCTTGCCCCCCACAGACTTAACCAGCCGGATGCTGCTCTCCACATTGCTGGGCTGCATTCCTGGCCGTGTGCATGCTGTGGCTGTGCACATGTGCGCGGCATTTATCAGTGGTATTATTGGCTACACTGGTCAAAAGAAGCCGATTGTTGATAATGTCAATTTTACTTGTATTGGTGTCAATCCAATATAGATTGATATATTGGTGCACCTCTACCTGGAACAGTTTGTCTGCACCCTCAGTGGCTGAGTAGAGGGACCTTTTAACTGCAAGACTGAAAAATTGGATAATTGTTCTCCTTTTCTATGGCTGACTTAATTTTTTTTTTAATTTAGAACATGGTGTTACCAGATGATTTCAGATATCCTGACTCTTCAAAACAGATATGGAATGTGAATGAAGCATTTATTCAGAGATTGCTAACTTGTTCATCTGGAAGGCTTCCTGTTGAGATAGCCAAGTAAGTACAAACTATATTGTGAAAAAAACCTTTACTAATTGTATATCTGTATTGTGTTTGTTTAGTTCAGTTTAAAACTTCTATAGAGAACATCTTAGTTTTTCCTTTAACAACTAGCTTATCTGGCTCCTTTGATGTGCCCTCAGATGTGCTGCTCACAACTCAATTTAATTCTAGTTCTGCTTCCTTCATATTGAAGCGGAGCTTAAAAAATTAAATAAAAGCAAGTTGCATGCATTGCAAAGTGAATAATGTTAGTTTCTTCCTGGACTGTAATATTCCTACTAGGTAATAGGCATCCCTGAGGGGAAGAGTGGCCTGAGTTTGTATAAGGGCAAGAGTACACATGGCAGTTTACATAGTTTAAGGAATGCTTGACTGTTAAAGTTAGCATGTGCTGTGTGCAGTCCAATGTTAGTGGTTAATACGGTCTCTAATGTGTGATACTCAGACCTGCTGCTAGAGGGCAGGTGAGCATGGGCATGGCTAGCATTTTAGCCACAATATAGGTCAGAGGGGAAGAGTGAGTCCCATGCTGATTTGGATCGTTATCTCTGGCTCCCAGTGACCTCTGAATCACCTCCCCCCCACATTTTCTCCAGATCACCTGGTGACACCCCATTCCTCACTTGCCTCCTCTTTCCCCCCATTGTTTTCAGCCTCCTATACCATAAACCCCTTCACTAGGCCCCCAGTGAAAGTCCAGCTTGAGCACACAGACAGTGCTGAACCTGTAAATATGACATCAGGGTTCCTGCTACTTGTCTCTCCACCTGCCTTTTTACATTGTGTTTTGAAATTTACCTGGGCATGTTGGCATCCAGCATAGGAAGCCTGCTAGCAGCAATCCAGCAGTTCCTGTTTCCTGACTTTCAGCCTTTCGTCACCATTTTTCTTTTTACTGTGTAGAAGTAGACAAGTCTGTAAGCAAAGACAGGTAATCCACATGCTGATTCCTAAAAAAATAAGTAAGTAAATAAGCTTTGTAAATAAATAGTATGACTGCTACAGACTGAGAGATGATTCAGATTGGGAAAAGTGGCTCAACTGAGTTGAACTGATTGATGGTGATCTTCAGGTTGACACAGAATACCCATAGGGATTTACCCATAATGAATAAAACTAGCTGTACCATTAACTAAACAAATTCGCACTTGTGGATTTGAAAAAAAAAAAGTGTTTGGTGTTTGTATTGACAACTACTGCATCTGAGAATTGATTTTGAGCATATTGGTGTTCAAACACATGCTTCACTAATTTAAAAAGCATATGTAACATAAAGACTAGTCACTTTTTAAGAGGGTTCCTCTTGTTCAACTATCTAGAAGTCTGGACCTATTTTAATATTTAATAGATAACACTGAATAGCAACACTGGTAAAGATATAGGGCATATTTACATGTGCTCTGGGAGTGGGGAGAAGGGTGCTTCAATTAAAGCAGCTCTGAGACCCTGTCTAATTGAAGTACCCAGAGCGCCTCATGTATCAGCGTCCCTGTGCTTCAAAGTGGCGGCAGGGCACTTTATCTAAAGCTTGTCGAGCGAACTTTAGTTAAATCGCCCCCGTTGCCATTTTGAAGTGGGGACGCTAATACACGACGTGGAGGCTGGCTGGAGCATGGTAATTAGCATGCTGCAGCAGACACGATTAATCAAGTCTGCTCTAATGTGCTGTCGGAGCAGCTTCCTGTCATGTGTACAGGCACCCATATTTACTGTCTACCAGTTAAAGATGCTGAAAAAGAGCTTCCCTGTAAAGCTCAGTAGAAAAGTAAGCACGTATTTTTTTTGTAGAAAAGTACATATTTGATGGTGGTTTTTTGTGCTTTGAAAATATGCAGAACATCTGTTTCAACTATGATCCGTTTAATACATAAGTAGTCTAATGGAAATAGTTTTGTCTGGACTGTCTTAGTGTAGCATCTTATTTAATGGTTAGCTTGACCAGTGTTACTCACTGATACTAGAACTGAAATTTGATGTGAAATGATATTTGTTAGAAAATAAAGATTCAAGTAGCTTTTCATTGTCTGTTATCTAATTTATTTTTTCTTTTTGCATTTGATTTTTTTTCCAGTGAAATAGATGGAACGTTTTCCTCAGCTGGCTGCCTAAATGGAAGTTTTTTAGCTGTCAGGTGAGTGGAACAGTCTTAAACAAGTTTACAAGCTAGCTCACTGAAACATATGTTACAAAGCTATCTTTTAAAAGAAAGAAGTGGGGGGCAATGTGGGGAGAGCAGGTGAATACCAAATTGACTTGTCCTTTGCTTTTATTCAGCAATGATGATCACTACAGAACTAGTACTAGATTTTCAGGGGTTGATATGAATGCTGCCAGACTGCTGTTTCACAAACTTATACAGCCTGATCATCCTCATATATCACAACAGGTTCGTTTGGCAAATCTTCCTTATGTTTAGACAACTTAACACATTCTACAATGTTGTTGCACCTTGCTCTTTAGTATAAATAAGTAACTTTATGCAGCAATTCTGTGTTGACTTGGAATTTGTAAGAAGCATATTCTATAGCAGCAGCATGTGTTGCAACTACATATTGTCACTATGTCCAGATTTCAGTGATTTAATATGGTACTATTTTAAAATGTTTCAGTATATCCAAACTTGCTGTGAGTGTAGCTAATAGAGAACAGGAATGTTTGCATGATGTTGGCTTGTTTTTTTTTCCTAAAGCACTGTAGTTCAGAATGGGATTTTTTCTGTGGAAAAGAGATCTTTACATGTATTTCAAAGCTTCCCTGTTATGTTAATGTATGTACATGCAGTGTTTTCAAATTGCTTATCTGCAGTAAACATTTGCTTAATCCCTGTTAGAATAAAGTTCTTTTGCTTACTTTGATGAAGTTTTGTGGGGGGTGGGGAGAATGGGTTGTTGTTGTTTAAAAGTTACTTCATAGAATGAAGTGTACACCTTGCAACCCTGTAGGTGGCAGCTAGTTTGGAAAAGAATCTTATTCCTAAATTGACAAGCTCCTTACCTGATGTTGAAGCCCTGAGGCTGTACCTCACCTTACCAGAATGTCCATTGATGAGTGACGTGAACAATTTCACAACATTAGCTCTTCCTTTTGGAGCAGCTGTTATAAATCTAGAAAAAGCTCCACTGAAAGTACTTGGTAAGAAATGTTTGGTATTGAAAGTGGCTGAAGATCTGTAAAATGTGCAGAAATTAATCCTATGGTGTTTACAACATATAAAATGTAGGCATGGTTCCCCCAAAGAGAAAGTTAGAAGTCCAGTTCTTTTTCTTCCCTATTATTTCGTTTGAGAGGTATTTTCCCTGCTTAGTTGGCCAGGGATGTTCTTTGTGTCTGGATAAATTAATTACCAGTCCGTGCAAGTTGATTACTTAATTTTACTCTTCAATCTGATTCCTTTTGGGAGTGAAACTGTTTGTAGTTCAATGATTTTTTTTTCTGAAAGTGTTTTAGATGGTATTGGTGTGGCTATGCTATTCACGGGCATAATTAATACTGTACTTACCACATACCATACACATCTTTTGCCCCAAAATCAGCCCTACAAAATTGGGGTGCATTTCTTAATCTGATTTTCTATTCTGGAATGGAGTTGCTATAAAATGGCCACCATGCTTCTCCCCGTGCCAGCCTCGGGGAGGAAGGGGGCAGAGTTAATCCTTCAGGGTCCTTGGGGTAGCTGCTGCCAATTTGCCAGTGATGGTGAGAGGGTTAAAACTTTAGCTTTTGCTTAGGTGCTGCTCATAATTCATCCATATTGTCAGGGTTCCCTGCAGTCAGAATTCAGCCAGAAGTAGAAAAATCTTTTTCTCTTATTTCTGCCTTCCTAGAGCAAGATGTGCATTTTATTTGGGCACATGTGGTATGTGAGAAAATAAAGTATTCACATTTTCGATCCTCTTCATATTCAGGATTATTAGGAGAATATAAAATGGCATTGTCAGGTATACCTGACCGTGTCTTAACTCTTTAAAAGAATAGTTTTGTAATAAATCCATATAGACATATTCCTTGTATGTGAAAGGAGTCATTAGCTCTTCTTTCTTCATAAATAGCATTTCCCAAGTAGGTTACAGAACTGTTAAATAAGAGACATTAAAATTGTAGCTTTGAAATGCTTTGACAAAACATTTTACCTTTATTTTTTTAAATAGCTCCCCCCATTGCCTCCCTAATCTGAGCTAGCATGTTTTTGCAAATGCAAAACAAAATCACTGTAGTGTTCTTGTTCTACTACATTACAAATTCTTATCCTGTTTATTACCCTCTGTCATTTTGAGTTCTTTAGAAATTGCAGTTTTCAAATAATCTCCTTGCCACTGAAAGTTGTTTGATATTGTTCTTTCCCTTTCTGCCTTGCCCCAGGATTTTCTCACTTTAATTTTAAATTTGAATGACATCTTCTGTGTTATTTCCTGTCTATATTTGTAATGTCTCTAGTCCCTTTTGTAGCACCATTCTCAGTATGCATTATCAGTGGGTGCATCTACATATGCTATTAATCCAAAGCAATGAACTCTAGTGCACACTGCACCAGAGTTTATTGCTCCCAGATGTGCTATTTGAACATGTGCCTGGGATCATGGTATGTTGAACTGGGTTGGGGCAGCCTGGGCTGGCAGGGGGCCTGGGTGGGTCAGCCTGCTAGCCGGGGGCTGCTCCAACCTGGCTCAGCATGCTGTAGAGAGGCTGGCTGGGGTACGAGTGTTCTCCAGTGCGGGACTAGTTGGCAGGCAGCCCCTGCACTGAAGCACCACTATACTCCAGCCAGCTGGGTCAAAGTCTGTATGTGTGGTGCTGCAGGGTAAAAAAACTCTGCAGCAGGATACTCTGCAGCAGTATTTACAAGTACTGCCCTGCTGCAGAGTTAGTTACCTATGGTTTAATAGGGCTGCACATGTAGACACGAGACGTTTCCTGCGGAGCTAATTAGTCTACTGTGCAATAAACGTCTCATGTAGACACACCCAGTGTGAAATTACTGGGAAGTTTGTCTAGTGCAGACACGTACTAAGACTTCTTTCTGATCGGGTCAATTTCTGCACCTTTTGTTCTCTCAAATGGTCCAGTTTTCTTCGGTAAGACTGTTGCATGAATTACAGGATCAGTCCCTCTGTTGATATCAGAAGTGATTTTTATAGTGTTAATTTAGCAGAATTGCTATAATTAAGGAACTTTCAGGTTGGGTATATGCTGGGAACAGCTTGCTACTGAAGGATTTGCAGCATTTCTACCATTCTGCAACCTTGGGAATGGTAATAGGCTGGGAATAGCACTGTGACTCCTTTCCTGATTCTTATCTGTCCCCATGCACAGTTGTAGTTGCATACTGGGAAATGTGCATCTTTTCTAGGACCCGTGCACTTGCTAATTCATTCTACTTATTTTCATTTACTGCTTTTTAATTTCCCTTTGAAGTTGGTACAGTCGCAGGGATTACATCTGCTGCTAGCTTCCATGTTTTTCCAAATTAAAACTGCTTCAGTATGATGTGTCAAATGTCTCTCAGATTTCTACCTTCGATAAAATATCCATGTGGTGACAATATAGTGAAATAAATTTGTGTAGGAAGAAAATGATAATTTCCTTTTTCTCTATCCTGCCCTTAATTATCTCTCCCTCTAGCTTTCAGCTATTGGCATACATAATTTTTGTTTTAGGGAAAAGGACAGAATAACTTTCAGCAGAAGGACAGGATAACTAAAGTTGGAGTAACAAGCATTACATTTATGTGCTTTTCTTTTCATAATAGAAAATTGGTGGTCTGTACTTGAACCTCCATTGTTTCTCAAGATAGTGGAACTTTACAAGGATGTTGTGGTTCACCTCTTGAAACTGTACAAGATTGGAATCCCCACTTCTGAAAGAAGAATCTTTAGCAGTTTTCTACACACTGCTTTCAAAGTTCTGGAAATATTACATAAGGTATGTCTGAGCCAATTCTAGCCAATTGGTTTTTCTGAGTTTATTATTTTGCTAGCTCTTGTGCACTTTCTCAGGTCCTTTTCTTAGCCTGGAAATGGACGTTGCCTGACTTCTCATTTTTGCCACCATGAAATTTTTATGGTGGCACAAATGCTGAGCAAATAAAAGTGGATATCCTTTGTTGTGCCACATGAAGGGTGACAAAGGTGGTTATTGACTTTGCTGCTTTATTGTGGTCGACATCTTTTACCTCTGGTGCATTCCTG